GAATTTTATGAAATTTGGAATAAATGTTATAATTGGCTAGAACAGAGAAAGAAAAAGATATAATTATTGATGTATATAAAATGTAAATAAGATGTAAAGAACATTTAAAATGTAAAGCACTGTTCTGTTAGAAGAAAAGAGTTATGTTTATGTAGTTTTGGTGTATGGTGTATGGTGAAAAATAATAATAAAAAATAAAAAAATTAAAAAAAAAGAGTCCCAGAAAGCAGCAGTGATCATTTAGAGTAGAAGCCTTTGAGAAATTGTTAAGGTGTGTTTAACAAGCACCTGTCATACTGATAGAAGAGAATATCTGTAGCTCAGGGTTCAACTGTGGGATCCTTGGTGCTCTCTGAGCTTGGTGGTTTCCTGGCAGATGTTTCATTACCAAACTGGGTAACATCATCAGCGCATAAGTAACATCAGCAACACCTCACCAGCAATCAACACCCAGATGGAACAGAGATTAACACCAAGATTAACGCTAGACCAGGGGTAGGCAACCTTGGCTCTTTTATGACTCGGGGACTTCAACTCCCAAAATTCCTGAGCCAGCCACGCTGAGGGGGACAGGGAGAGGTTTCCAAGCTGAGCCATGCTGGCTCAGGAATTCTGGGAGTTGAAGTCCACGAGTCATAAAAGAACCAAGGTTGTCTATCCCTGCACTAGACCAACAAACAACAAGTAAATTACACCAATTAAGGAACTACCAACTCAGACAAACAAGCTAGCAGGAAACAACAGCCTACTCAAGGAACCACCAAGAATATTCCCATAGACCAGGGGTGTCAAACTCAATTTCACTGAGGGCCCCATCAGCATTGCGGTTGCCCTGGAGGGGGGCAGGTGGGTGTGGGCAGAGTGGGTGCAGCCTGCTGGGTGGGCGTGGATGGAGTGGGTGTGGCCTACTGGTTGGGCGTGGCCAGTTCTACATCATTCGCATCAAGGGTGCCTATGGGGGCCTGGGCAGGAGTGGGACAGATCTGAGGGTCTCTGGCAGAAGGGGGTGGGACTGTGGCAAGTGCCAAGGCATGGTCCACCGGGGCAAGTGCCAAGATGGCCACCACAAAATTGTACATTGGCTCCCGGCTGGCCTGGGCCAGGGCCGAGGCAGCGGGGGCCGTTCCCTCACTGTTTCCAGGATGGCTTTGCGGGCCACATGAAACCACTTCGCGGGCCGCATCCGGCCCGCCGGCCCTTGTGTTTGACATGTCTGCCATAGACACTGACAAGTCAAGCCACTTGTATGTAAACAGAGATTAAGCCACACTCCCTTCTAGCACAGAAGGTGTTACCTAGTTTGATAAGGAAATAACTGCAAGAAAACCACCAAGCTGAAAGAGAAGCAAGGACCTCACCGTCCTACTATCTAAACAAAAGTTCCGTTTGTTCAGTGAATTCTGTTCCATTTTACGATTTTTCTTGCCACAGTTGTTTAGGGAATCATAGCAGTTGTTAAGTTAGCAACCCGGTTGTTAAGCGAATCTGCCTTCCCCTTTGACTTTCCTTGTCAAAAGGTCACAAAAGGTGATCACATGACCCCGGGTCACTGCAACCGTCGTAAATATGAGTCGGTTGCCAAGAGTCTGAATATTGATCTTGTGACCATAGAGATACTGCAACGGTTGTAAATGTGAAAAACAGTCATAAGTCACTTTTTTTCAATACCGTTGTAACTTTGAACGGTCGCTAACTTTACTGCTGTAAGTCAAGGACTCCCTGTAGAGGTAGCCCTCGACGTATGACCACTATTGAGCCTAAAATGTTTGTGGTTAAGTGAGACATTTGTTAAGTGAGTTTTGCTCCATTTTACAACCTTTCCTGCTACAGTTGTTAAGTGAATCCCCTGCATTGGATAAGTTAATAACCCGGTTGTTAAGTGATTCTGGCTTCCCCCATTGACTTTGCTTGTCAGAAGGTCACAAAAGGGAATCACGTGACCCTGGAACGGAGCAACGGTCGTTAAGTATGAACCAGTTGCCAAGCATCTGAGTTTTGATCATGTGATCATGGGGATGCTGCAAAGGTTGCAACTGTGAAAAATGGTTGCGGGTCACTTTTTTTCAATGCTGTTGTAACTCTGAACGATCACTAACCGGACTGCTGTAAGTCAAGGACTACCTGTATTATATATTAATTTTCCCAAAAGTTTAGAACTCCCTACTTCGGCTTTCCAGCAATTTTAGAAACTTAGCAAGAGGGATAATAATAATAATAATAATAATAATAATAATAATAATAATAATAATAATAATAATAATAATAATAATGTTGGAAGGGACCTTGGAGGTCATCTAGTCCAACCCCCTGCTCAGGCAGGAAACCCTATATCATTTCGGACAAATGGCTGTCCAGTCTCTTCTTAAAAACTTCCAGTGTTGGAGCATTCACAACTTCTGGAGGCAGGTTGTTCCCCTGATTAATTCTTCTCACTGTTCAGGAAATTTCTCCTTAGTTCTAGGTTGCTTCTCTCCTTGGTTAGTTTCCATCCGTTGCTTCTGTGGACCGGTACCGGGCTGCGGCATGCCAGCAACCAGTCCACACAAACAAGCAAAACCCCATCTTCGGGATGCAGGCACCACACAAACCACGCGCCCTCCGGTCCATTTCCCCCAGACTTTTTCAGTATTGCCATCTTACGTCTCCGCTACCTGGGGAAAACACTCAACATGCAGAATAATCTACGATTGGCCAAGTCTTCTTGTTCCTCAGGTCTACTTACTGATTGATGGTGCCGTTTGTGAGGGCACTGATGACCCAGCGCAAGTCTAAGATTTTGAACGGGATGAGAATCATGTTGACCATCTCCCCTAGTTCTCGATAGCTCTCTGGGTAGACAAAGTGATGAGTGGTTTTGCTGCCGACGTCCAATTCGAAGCCCTTTGTTGGGGCTTTGTTCATTCTTCATACAAAAAGGGGGGAAAAATATTGAGGAATGAGAAGAAGTATCAGTCAACGAGAAGAACACTCATACTTTGGATTTACTCCTTGACTTACGACCACAATTGAGCCCAAAATTTCTGTTGCTAAAACAGTTGTTAAATGAATTTTGCCCCGTTTTATGACAACAACAACAACAACAATAATAATAATGTTGGAAGGGACCCTTGGAGGTCATCTAGTCCAACCCCCTGCTCAGGCAGGAAACCCTATACCTGTGGTGGCGAACCTATGGCACGTGTGTCACAAGTGGCACACAGAGCCCTCTCTGTGGGCACACGCACCACCGCCCCAGTCCTAAACCTTCAGCTGGGTTTTATAAAACCTTTTCGCTTTAGGCCTCCGCTGCTGTGTGCAAAAAAAAAAAAAGGTTCAGTCAATCAATCAATCAATCAATTTCAAGTTCTCGTGGGAAAAAAAAAGATCTTGCAAAGTTGGAATTGATTGATTGTACTTTTTACTCCCACCCAGTCTGCCGTTACCACCAGTCATGCCCACCCAATGGGCCACGCCCACCCAATGGACCACGCCCACCCAATGGGCCATGCCCACCCGGCACCCAACGATACATAAGTGGGTTTTGGGTTGCAGTTTGGGCACTCGGTCTCTAAAAGGTTCGCCATCACTGCCCTATACCATTTCAGACAAATGGCTGTCCAGTCTCTTCTTAAAGACTTCCAGTGTTGGAGCATTCACCGCTTCTGGAGGCAGGTTGTTCCTGTCAACGCTGCTAACATCGGATGTTTTTGCTTTGACCACATATGGAGATGCAGCCATTTTTCTTCTTACATTTTACTCTTAGAATTAGAGTTAGAATTAGATGATACTGGGGGGAGGGAGGAGGAGGAATGTGCATGGGAGTTTAGCTAGACATAACAATACTGAACCTAGTGTGTGAACCAAGGTTATTGAAATAAGAGATGATAAGAAATGGCGGGTTGGAGAACTGGAGGGAAAGCCTGCATTTCAAACTAATTGGAGAATGTGATTTATGACTGTTAATGAGAGGAGGGAATCGTACTTTGATACTATGTGCTGAGGGGAGGGGAATTCAGTTTTTGGCTTCGATTGTGTTAGTGCCGATGCTATGCTTCTCAAATAAAGATTCTTTAAGGTAAACAATGCCTCAAAGTTCTTTGAAGAGTTTTATCTGTCGGAACCATGACAGTTCCACTGATTAATTGTTCTAGCTGTCAGGAAGTTTCTCCAGGTCTAGGTCAGTGATGGCGAACCTTTTAGAGACTGAGTGCCCAAACTGCAACCCAAAACCCACATGTATCATCGGGTGCCGGGTGGGTGTGGCCCATTGGCTGGGTGTGGCCCATTGGGTAGGTGTGGCCAATTGGCTGGGTGTGGCCCATTGGGTGGGCGTGGCTGCCGTGGTAACGGCAGACTGGGTGGGAGTAAAAAGTTCAATCAATCAATTTCAACTTTGCAAGAACTTTTTTTTCCCGCGAGAAGTTGAAATTGACTGATTGAACCTTTTTTTTGTTGTACACGGCGGCGAAGGCCTAAAGTGAAAAGGTTTTATAAAACCCAGCTGAAGGCCTAGGACTGGGGCGACGGTGCCATGCCCACAGAGAGGGCTCTGAGTGCCACCTCTGGCACCTGTGCCATAGGTTCGCCACCACTGGTCTAGGTTGCTTCTCTCTTTGCCACAGTTGCCAAATGAACCACGGCTGTTGTCAGTCAAGTCATGGTGGTTAAATGAATCTGGCCTCCGCATTGACTTGAATTGTCAGAAGATTGCAAAAGGTGATCGCATGACTCCCGGGATACTCCCAACTGTCACAAATATGGTTTGAGTTGCCAAACGCTGCAAGGTTCATAAGTGTGGAAAACAGCCATAAGTCACTTTTTTCAATGCCCTTGTAACGTTGAACGGTCGCTAAAAAAATGATTATAAGTCAAGGACAACCGGTATATGCAACATCTTTTGATCTGAAAGACAGGGATGCGGTTCTTATTTTAAGCTGTGGTTAGAAAACATCGTTTCCTAGAGGCAGCTAGTAACTTGTTCAAATAAAAGGAGAACAATAGCGGTTAAGCTATGACAAGAATATGACAAGGACAAGAAAAACATTGTTCCTGGGGATTAGGCAAGTGATAAGTAAAGATGGAAGTTTGCTATTCGAACAGACCGTTTTTCTTGATTTATCTGCATGCTCCATTTATCTGTGCAAATCTACTTGAGCAAGGCTAGATTTGGGAGATCTTTGCTGATTATTTTTTTTTGAAATTTTGAAATAATTCAAAGGTATCCCTGTTATTTTTTATTTTTTTATTCGCTTAATAATATAAAATACAAAAATACAAAAGCAAGTAGTAGTGGGAAACAAGGGGGAGGGGAGGGGAAGAGAGAAGTATGGAAGAGAGGGGGAAAGAAAAAAAAGGCATTTACTTCTGACTTCCTTGCAGTTAGAATAAGGCAGGGGTCCCCAACCCCTGGTCTGTGAACCGGTACCAGGCCACGGCATGCCAGCAACCGGTTGCTGAAATTGGGTATGTCTAGTTTAACGAAGAGAAGGACGAGGGGGGACATGATAGCAGTGTTCCAATATCTCAGGGGCTGCCCCAGAGAAGAGGGAGTCAAGCTATTCTCCAAAGCACCTGAAGGCAGGACAAGAAGCAACGGATGGAAACTAATCAAGGAGAGAAGCAACCTAGAACTAAGGAGAAACTTCCTGACAGTTAGAACAATTAACCAGTGGAACCACCTGCCTCCAGAAGCGGTGAATGCTCCAACACTGGAAGTTTTTAAGAAGAGACTGGACAGCCATTTGTCCAAAATGGTATAGGGTTTCCTGCCTGAGCAGGGGATTGGACTTGATGACCTCCAAGGTCCCTTCCAAATTATCATCATCATCATCATCATCATCATCATCATCATCATCATCATCATCATCATCATCATCATCATCATCATCATCATCATCTGTGGGATGCAGGCAGCACACAAACCATGCACCCTCTGGTCCGTGGAAAAACCTTTCTCCACGGAACTGGTCCCTGGTACCCAAAAGGTTGGGGACCTCTGGAGTAAGGCATTAACATCAACTTTTTACT